ATTATTTTCTAAGTATGGTTCAACCAGAGGCTCTGGTCGTGAGGCCAGAAGCTCTGGAAGAGAGACCACAGAGGGGGTCTGTCCTTGATGTGGAATTATTTTTTAAGTATGGTATACAAGCAGAGGGCTCTGTCAATACAACCACAGAGGCCCTGGTCCTAAAGGACTTAAGGATCCAGAGGCTCTGTCAAAGCAACCAGAGACTCTGGCCGTCCACAGAGGCTCTGGTCTTCTTCTAAACTTAGTCGTTTCAAGGTATATAGCTAAACGATACATCTTGAGTCGGAACTCACGTTCCTATGATTTTGTTGATGTGAAGAACGTTCTTAAGCATAGTTGACCAAGGTTGACCCTAGCCAACGTAGTTGACCGTAAGTTGACTTTTATGCTAGCCATTGAGAGAAATTAATCATTCATATGCTATTTACTATTATAAATTGTAGGTTACCAGTCAGCTGCGTTAGTTATGCAAACTACGATATCAGGTGAGTCTTCATGAGACTTACAATGGGATGCATACATATGTATAAATTTATTTTCAAGCATTAAATGATTTATATGATAATGGGTATGTATGCATGATGTTTCAGTTTACATACATAATATATTTTACATGTATGTTATTTTATGACCAGTTGCATGCTATGTGTTTAATCAGTTTTCAAATACCTCTAGCATGTTATTTAATTTGAAAGTTTATGGTCAGTTTTAGTGGGTGGGCATTTGACCAGTAAGTTACGACCAGTATAAAACACTGTCTGGACAAGTGGGTGATCAATTAAGATTGAAGTATCAACCCAGGGCGTGTTTGTGACTAAATGACCCATACTCGACAGACAAGTCATGAGATCTCTGTTCTTTCAGCGTTGCATGTTTTTCAGGAAATTCATACTATTTGGTACAAGGTTTACAAGTTGATATGTACGATGTAAAATGATTTTTCTACTCATGTAAACCATGAACTCACTGAGCTTTATAAGCTGACTATAGTATGCATCTCAGGGCCAGGTAGTTCGAAGTCGGATAAGGGCAAAGGACATGCTTAGAGAGTTGCTAATTATTATCTTATTTTAGCCTTTTGTCTAGCAGCGTTGTATTAATCTTTTGTAACTTAACCTGGCGTGAGGCAGGTTAGAACTTAAGTTAGTCTTTGGACGATACAAAGACTTCCGCTGTAAACAATTCAAACGGTGTTATTTAGCCGTCTTTTGGGAATATGTATTCAGGAAATTGTTTCAGGTTACGTAACATTCTCAAAAAAAAAATGAGGGTGTTACAAGTTGGTATCAGAGCTTTAGTTTAAGGTAATTAGGTTAAGAATTACTTAGCGTTATCTTAAACTAAGAGGATTGTTAGAAGCTTTAGTTCAAGGTAATTAAGTTAAGAATTACTTAGCCTAAGCTTAAACTGAGAGGATTGTTAGAAGCTTTAGTATAGGGTAACAAGGTTAAGATTTACCTAGCCTAAGCTTAAACTTAGAGGACTGTTAGAAGCACATATTTATTGTGTATTAATATTGCTTATCATGCGAATAAGTTTGATCCCATGTTACTATTCGACATAGTGTTCCTTTTATGACTTGTAGGAGACATGGTACACACCATTCATACCAGGTCTATCAGACGCGGACGCGGGCGCGGATACGGAACACGTAGGACACCACACGGGCTAAGACCAAATAGGGGATCCATTGACAGTCACCGCCCCAGCACCAGACATGTTTCCCGCTCCCGGTCTAGAAGTAATAGCCTGGCCCACACTGGTGAGGTGTCATCGCGAGAGCCCATCAGAAGAAGGACCACACCCGAGCCTTCGATGGACTACACGCCCCGCACCCCCTACATGTTAGGACATGATGGAGGCTATAGAGGCCTTGAGGGGCGAGAATACAAGACTAAGGGAAAGGTTGACCCGAACCTTAGATGGCAATACTAGACTGAATGAATGGCTAAACAATCTTCAGCGGGCACATGTCGAACAAGGAGGGGCCCTAAACGAGCTAATTGAAGAGAATGCACAATTGTCGGATCAGCATCATGCACTGATTTGATACAAAGTTGTACTTGAGCAGGAGCGAAGAATTGCTGCTCGTCCAATAGGCACTAGGTTCAAAGACAGAGTTCACTTCTATAAGAGGATGACCATTGACTATGTCGGTGTAGTGAGGGGGTATTTCTCCGATTGGGTCCAATGCATCAAAAACGGCCCAAAGGCTAGTGTGTTGTGGCACTCCAGGCCGTCCACCACTTTTGAGGAATGGTTGAGGGACCCTTATCTCCCTTATTACCCCGCGGATCAGTTTTAGACGTGGAATCCTTTTGAAGGAGAGAAGATCTTTTGGATATGTGAATTATTTGTGCATGACTAGATAGCTGAGCGAATTTTTTTTTATCTAGTCCGGTGCTTCAATAGATTTTTGAACATTCACATGATTTAGAGATATGTTTAGAATGAGGTAGTATCCCATCTTTTGTAAGTAAATGGGATTATGTAATGTCTCTTCCCAGGATTGTACATTGACGCGAAATATATATATATATATTTTTAGCATTATGAGACTCTCGACGTGAATTCCTTATTATATATTTCGCTTATATATATATAGTGATTATATACATATATATATATATAATGGGTTATATTGATTTTAGAACCTTACTAAAACAATAATACCCTATATTGTCAGTATGGTTTCTCGTGGATCAACAAGGAACGCCCTCAATGGGAGAGGTACTAATGGCATAGCCCCACCAACAGTTCGAGGACGGACGCGAGCCCAAAGTCGAGGTTGCGGAAGTGTCCGAACCACTAGCTCTAGTACGACTCCATCCGCGCAGGATAATTTCGCTATCGGTAGGAGTCAAGGAGACCAGGAAGGGGAAAATCCCCTCACAAAGGAGATGATAGTTGAGCAGATGGTAGAAGTCCTCCGGGATACATTGCCAAATATGCATAAAAAATGTTGGGTGACAGATTTAAGGAGAACGAAGATGGAGAGGAGGAAAGTGTTCGACACGAGAACACTCAAGCCACTGGAAAGGTGGAAGTATCTGTTCAAGATAAGGCGGAGTCGCCCACCAACGAGAAAACTGAATTGACAAGGAAGGAGAAGGGATGCAGTTTTAAAACATTCAAAGGCACCGGGCCAAAGGAATTTAAGGGAAAAGAGGGCCCAGTTGGCTTGATGAACTGGATAACCAAGATGCAGAGTAGCTTCAAAATTTGTAGATGTGCGGAAGATCAAAAAGTGACTTATGCTGCTACAACCTTTGTAGACTATGCATTGCATTGGTGGGAGACTGAGTGTGCAATCAGAGGTGATGAGGGCATTGTTGCCATGACTTGGGAGCAAATGAAAAAGATGATTATGGATAAATACTGCACACAATCGGAAGTGAACAAGCTAGAATCAGAATTTCTGAGGTTAAAGCAAGGCTCGATGTCGGTTCAAGAATATGTTAATGACTTTCTAGAAAAAGCAAGATTCGCCAGTTACCAGGTGACTACCGAGGAGAGGAAGATAGGTCATTTCAAAGACGGCTTAAGAATTGAAATCAAACGGTACGTAGACATGACTAAGCCGACCACTTTTGTTCAAGCAGTAGAGATGGYGAAGGTAGCAGAGGAGAACAACGCTAGGGAAAACTATGATAGAAGGGATGCAAAGAGAAGATGGGAAGGGCCGAACAAGTCCGACAAGAAACCAAAATGGACTCCGACTATGGCAAAAACACGAAGCGAGGGATTCGCTATTCCCCAATGCAACAAATGCAACAAGAGACATAAGGGAGAGTGCAGAGCGGGGAGCCTGACGTGCTACAAATGTGACAAAGCTGGGCACACCGCGGGAGAGTGCAGAGCAGGGAGCCTGACGTGCTACAAATGTGACAAACCTGGGCACACCGCGCAAGAGTGCCCAGAAGGAAAAACTTGTTACGAATGTGGGGCTACAGGACATATACGAACTGACTGTCCAAAATGTCGGAATGGTGTGACACCCCACATGAAGACAGTGAATAACAGATTTGGAAAGAGATCGGAAAATAGGAAGGAGCTATCTAAGGGTCACGGCCGAGCTTACACCATGACTTTAGAGGAGGCCAAGGAAACACCCGACGTCGTATCTGGTATGTTCCCTATCAACAATGTGTATGCACATGTATTATTTGATTCGGGTGCAAATGGTAGTTTTGTGTCTACCACCTTCTGCCACTATCTAAATAGGAGTGCCTATAGGCTAGACAAAACCTACACTGTAGAAACAGCCGACGGTAGTCAGTGTAAGGTAGACGAAGTATTTGATAAATGCACAATTGTTATAAATGGGAAGGATTTCCCTGTTAGGCTTATGCCATTGTGCTTAGGAGGTTTTGACGTGGTCTTGGGGATGGATTGGCTGTCCACCAATCATGCGCAAATAGTATGCAATAAGAATATGATCAAGATTYAGACYYHRGAARGAGAAACAATTCATGTTTACGGTGATCGAAAGAAGTGTTGCGTAGGGTTGATCAATGCAATTAAGGCGAATAGGTGTCTGCGGAAGGGATGTGTGGCCTACTTGGCATACACCATCGACGCCAAGCTCGAAAAGAAGACAATACATGACGTTCCAGTGGTGAGGGATTACCCAGAAGTATTCCCGGATGAATTATCGGGGATACCACCGGAGCGTCAGGTAGAGTTCCGAATCGATTTGGTACCAGGTGCGGTACCAATCGCAAGGGCGCCTTATCGTTTGGCCCTAACAGAAATGCAAGAGCTGATGAAGCAATTGCAAGAACTCTTAGATAAAGGGTTTATCAGACCAAGCTCGTCGCCATGGGGAGCATCGATTTTATTCGTCAAGAAGAAAGACGGCACGATGAGGATGTGCATCGATTATCGGGAGTTGAACAAAATCACGATAAAGAACAGATATCCACTGCCGAGGATCGACGACCTTTTCGATCAGTTGCAAGGAGCTAACTGTTTCTCGAAAATCGATTTGACGTCAGGTTACCATCAGTTGAAGGTTCGAGAAGAGGACGTGTCGAAGACCGCTTTTAGGACACGTTACGGACACTACGAATTTGTGGTAATGCTGTTTGGATTAACAAACGCACCTGCGGCATTCATGGACTTGATGAATCGAGTTTATGGACCGTATTTGGACCAATTTGTCATAGTCTTTATAGACGATATTTTGATCTATTTAAAGAATGAGAAGGAGCATGAACAACATTTAAGGTTGATTCTTGAATTACTAGCAAAGGAGCAATTGTACGCCAAGTTCTCAAAATACGAGTTTTGGTTGCATGAGGTACAATTTCTCGGTCACGTAGTCAACACGGAAGGGATCAAGGTGGATCTCGCTAAGATTGATGCAGTGATGAACTGGGAATCACTAAAGTCAGTATCGGAGATCCGAAGTTTTCTAGGCCTAGCAGGGTATTACCGAAGGTTTATCCAAGATTTCTCCAAAATAGCAACGCCTTTGACAACACTGACAAAGAAGTCGGTTAGGTTTGATTGGGGGACAAAACAAGAAGAAGCCTTTCGGATACTCAAGGAGAGACTAAGCACTGCACTGGTTTTAGCACTACCGGAAGGAGTAGTAGATTTTGTCATTTTCAGCGATCCATCAAAGATGGGTTTAGGTTGTGTACTAATGCAGCGAGGCAAGGTCATTGCATATGCGTCTCGTCAGTTGAAGGAACACGAGAGGAAATACCCAACTCACGACATGGAATTAGCAACTGTTGTCTTCGCGCTAAAAATCTGGAGACACTATCTGTACGGTACGAAGTGCATGATCTATACTGATCATAAAAGCCTTAAGTACTTGTTTGATCAAAAGGAGCTAAATATGAGACAAAGAAGATGGATGGAACTACTTAAGGATTATGATTGTGAGATTCACTATCATCCAGGTAAGGCAAATGTAGTTGCCGATGCACTTAGTAGGAAGGAGATAAACGGACCAATCAGAATTCGAGCCATGTGGATGAGTGTTAAAGTGGAGCTTCTAGACCGAATACAGGATGTTCAAAGGGGAGCTTTACTCGAAACGAATATCAAAAAGGAGAGAATGATTGGACAAATTAAGACTTTGACAGCTGGACCAGATGGAATATATAGACATGGGAATCGGGTTTAGATTCCTAGTTTTGGAGATCTAAGAAATGTAGTGATGGATGAAGCACATAAGTCCAAATACACTATGCATCCAGGTAGTAATAAGATGTACAAGAACATAAAAGAAAGCTACTGGTGGCCTGGCATGAAAAGGGCAGTAGCTAGCTACGTGGGGAAATGTTTGACGTGCTTGAAAGTGAAGACCGAGCACCAAAGACCGTCTGGAATGTTGCAACAAATGGAGATCCCAGTATGAAAGTGGGATATGATCACGATGGATTTCGTCACCAAACTTCCAAGGACGGTAAAGGGGCACGACGCCATATGGGTAATTGTGGACCGACTAACAAAATCTGCTCACTTCTTACCGATTAGCGACAAGTATACATTGGAAAGATTGGCCCAACTTTATGTCAACGAGATCGTGTCGATGCATGGTATGCCGATATCCATTGTCTCAGATAGAGATGCTAGGTTTACTTTGAGGTTTTGGTCAAGTTTTAACAAGAAATGGGAACGTGGTTGAACTTGAGTACCGCATATCATCCTCAAACTGATGGCCAGAGTGAGAAGACGATACAAACACTAGAAGATATGTTGAGAGCTTGCGTAATTGACTTTGGAGGTAGTTGGGACAACCACCTCCCATTGGTAGAATTTGCTTATAACAACAGTTACCATTCAAGCATCAAGGCGGCACCATTTGAAGCGTTGTATGGCCGTAAGTGTAGAACTCCAATTTGTTGGGCAGACATTGGAGAAAGACAACTAGCTGGACCCGAGTTAGTCCAACAGACATCTGATATAATAGTACAGATCAGGGAGAGGTTAAAGGTTGCGCAAGATAGACAAAAGAGTTATGCGGATAGGAGACGTCGACCTTAGGAATTCCAAGTAGGTGATAAGGTCTTGCTGAGAATATCGTCATGGAAAGGGGTCGTAAGATTTGGAAAGAAAGGTAAGCTGAGTCCAATGTATATCGGACCATTTGAGATAACTGCAAGAGTAGGATTATCAGCTGCTCAAAATCTGAGTCCAAGGTATATCGGACCATTTGATGTCATTCTTCTCATTATCATTTTTGGCTCGTTCCAAGATTATCAGCTGCTCAAAATCTGAGATTTGCTTTAACAA